TGGGACAGAAGCTGCTGCTTGGCACAGGGGAAAAGCGGTCCCCTTGCCACTGCCGGGCCCTTCTTGCTGCGGCTCCTCTCCACTGCCATCACTGCCACCTGTGAGCCACCCAGCGGGGCAGCGGTGGCAGTGCAGAGGAGCCACAGGGCATCCTGGGAGCGAGCTCTTGGCAGCTGCAGCGGTGAATGGGAGGGGCTACTTTTGCCATATGCTGAGCAGCAGTTCCTGCCCGGCTGCCTCCACTACTGCCACTGATCAGCATGGACAGGTGAGTCTGGAGCAGGTGCAGGTTGGAACTGTGGGCATGGGTCCCAGCTGGTCCAGAGCTGGTCTACTCCACTGGGCCAAATCCCGACCCAGTGTGGTAGGGGCCAGAGTCGGGGCTGTGCACACGGGTCCCTGCCAATACCACAGGGCTGGAACCAGTGGTGGTGGCAGTCGGAAGGAGCTGCCGCCACCTTGGCTACCTAGAAAGGCCGTCTAGATGCAGAGCTGCCTCAGCCCCACTATGTGCCCAGGAGATGGCAGGATGTGCCGCGAGGCAGAGTATGCCTGGGCCAGGTGGGGCTGAATCTGGCCCGCAGGGTGTATTTTGCCCACCTCTGTTCTAGTCCAACCCCCTGCTCAAAGCAGGACCATCGCCAACTAGGTCATCCCAGCCAAAACTTCGTTTAGCCAGGTATTAACAACCTCCACGGATGGAGAGTCCACAACCTCCCTGGGTAACCTGTTCCAGTGCTTTACTACCCTTCTGGTGACAGTTTTTCCTAATCTAACCTAAACTTCCCTTGCTGCAACTTGAGACCATTGTTCCTTGTTCTATCATCTGCCACTACTGACAACAGTCTAGCTTCATCCTCTTTAGCACCATCCTTCAGGTAGTTGAAGGTTGTTATTAAATCCCTCTTCAGTCTTCTCTTCTCCAAACTAAATGAGCCCAGTTCTCTCAGCCTCTCCTCAACCCCCTAACTATTTTTGTTGCCCTCCGCTGGACTCTCTCCAATTAGCCTGCATCCTTTCTGTAGTGGGGGGCTTAAAACTGGGTGTTTTTGCAGAACTTCTGCTTAGCCAGTCAGTCCCCTAGCCTGTACTGGTGCATGGGATTGTTCTGTCTGAAGTGAAGGAGCTTTTCATAGGTACTAGGATCGGAAGGGACCTGAGCAGATCATGGAGTCCAACCCCCCTCCCTCCAGGCAGGAAAGAGGGCTGGGGTCAGGCACCACTAAAAGAGGTCAGGGGAGGGAAGAGCCCTTCTACCCAGTGGGGATTCCCTCTTCCCAGCAACTCACCTCTGTGGTCCCCTGGCTAGGAGTCCTGACCCAGGAATAGAACCCTGGTCTCCCACATGGCAGGCAAGAACTCTACCACTAGGCCATCATTGCTTAAGTTAGTCCATTTCTGTTTGGATGAAAATTAGAAGTCATGCAGCATGGACAGAAACAGCCTTTTTCATTTTTGGAATGTCTTAAATGTGCTGGATAAATAAAAAATAGAGTTTATAAAGATCTATTTTACATTAAGATTGATTTAGTAAACTAAGGAAGTTCTTTGTTCACAAACGTACTTTGTGCGTACCAGAAACAACTAAATCATTTCACTTCCTTCAAAATTTCAGAACTAGTGGATCACAACCTCTCAAACCTAGATTTATTTATAAATTGGAGGGGAAAAATAGAAACTAGATTTTTTTTCCAACAGATTTTTATCCACTTCATTTTGGTGAGAATCTATAAAAAGAAATTACTTAATGCATCACAGCTAGTCTTTTTTTTTTATTTAGGGTTAAATCAAAACAGCAGGTGGTCTGCAGGGTAGGAATATGTAGACATAAGACAACTTAATTTCTAATAGATGTTTAGGTCTTGTCTATTCTAGGATTTAAAGTTATAAGCCAGGTGTCAAACTTGCCTTGTGTTTTGGGCCAGGGTGACAGGTGAAGTGGTTGGAGAGTAACCAGAATTGTTTCAGCCCTCTAGACACCAGTCACCATGTCCACTGGGGCCCAGGGGCCCTCAATTCTGTGGCAGGCCATGCCTCTGGCCTCTCCCATTACTTCCAGTAGCCTGCCAGTAGCTCACTGGGCCAGATGGAGCAGTTCTGTTGGCTGGATTTGGCACCTGGGTCATGATTGACACCCCTTTTTAAACATAAGCAGGAGTTAGCTAGGATGCTTTAAATGCTACTCTGGACAAGGCCTTTGCAGACAAATTAATGTCAGGACATTGGAAGTACAACTTATCCTGTTTCCTGGGGATGACAGTTGAAAATACCAAACTCCTAAAACTTGGGCCTTGTTTGAATGTAGACCTTATATATTAAAAGCTGTTTTTAATTGTTCTGCCAAGAGTCCTAGTGCAATCTCTTTTTCTCTAAAGTACAATTAAATGTTAAGGTTTAACAGTAGGCACTCTGAAGTGTTCAACGCTGTGGAGTTAAAGATACTCTCAAAATTAATTGCCACATAATAGTAGATAAGTGTTGTGCTTCTCTTATAAGTAATGCTCATGCTAGTGATTGAAAGAAATGAGTTATTTTTAAATCTGCTTTTGGGTTCACTGTGTATATCAGGGTTATCAAAGAGGCATCCTGCAGAGGTTGATACTCCTACTTTAAATGATGTTCCTCATTATGTGCATCTTCTACACTTCAACAGTGGAGATTAAAAATATGCAAATGTAAAATCCCCCGAACTGACTCCAGAGTAGGTTTAGAACCTGATGCTAGCCTAACTGGCTCAAGCCTTGTTTTAACTTTCCCATCTCTCCCTGTAACATGAATGTACAGGATTGTTTTGTTCTCTGGCTAGGCACTAAAACCAAACTGCCTTTTTCTAGGAGACTGGTTTGGAGGAGATTTATATGGCATCTAACAGAGTCTGTACGACTCTGTAAAATCATAACTGATAAGGGACTGATGGGAAACAAAACAGCATTTGTGCGCAGACAGAAGTGATAATTTTTCCTTGATCTGGCCACAGAAAGCAGCTTATAGCTGTGACCAAACACAAGTGCATGGCTGCAGACAGCTTAAAAAATGGCTGATCGGGTGAAAATCTGCCCCCTCATTTCATGAGAGGTCAGATGAAGGTGTTTCACAACATAGTGTTTTCTGCATGAATGACTCGTGCCTCCTTAGGCTTGGGGGTCACGGCGACTGCCCGCAGGCGGAGGTGTTGGTGGTGGCAAGCAGGGACCTCCTGCAGATGGCCGCGGTGATGTAGGTGGTGAGGGTGGGCCGAGCAGGGACTGTCCGCAGGCAGCCGCGGCAGTGTCAGCGGGTGGGGGGGAGGTGAGCGGCGACCACCTGCAGATGTCTGTGGCAGTGGCCAATCTTAGGGGGTGCACATGCCCCCTCTACGCGTTGCCTGTGGTTTTCTGTAACTTCTGTCTGTGCTGCCTGCCAGCTTCAAGCTGTTTTCAGAATGGGAGTGGGGAAAGGGAGCAGAGGGAGTTTGGTCTGGGGCAGGGGTGGGCAAAATGCGGCCCACGGGCTGGATGCAGCCCACGGGGTCCCTAAAAAATTTAGAAAATTAATATTTAGCTGCTCCTGGCTGCCTGTCATGTGGCACTCAATGGCTTGCCAAAACTCAGTAAGTGGCCCTCTGCCTGAAATAATTGCCCACCCCTGGGGGGGGTTTTCAGCCCCCTCTGGAGGGTGGAATGGGTATATTGGAGCCTCCCCCGAGATGCCCCCTCTGTTCCCTTTTCCTCCTCCCATTCTGAAAACAGGGTCAGGCTGGGAGAGAGGAGGGGCCATTGCTAGGGGAAACCAGGTGCAGGTTCCCAGCCAGCAGCTAGATTCCCCTCCCCCCTGGAACCAACAAGTGAACTTCTGTTTGGTTCCAGGGATTCTTGTAACTCAGAACTCTTCCTTGAAGGTGTTCTCAGTTATCGTGGGGAGCTGCACTTCTGTCTGTACCCTTGAAACATACCTTTAACCAGTTGTTGCCCCAGGCATTAAAACAGGGAGCTTATTATTTTCCAGTCTGTGTTTGTGTCTGAGATAGCCTTAGAGCTGGCATAATTTGCCTACGTGGTTTTAATTTGGGTGAGGTGGTTACCTTCTTAATGACAAGGAAGACATGTGCATCCCAGTGAAGAGCATGACTGGCAAAGGCTTCAATTACCACCCTCTTCCCCCCAGCAAATTGCCTGAAAATGAATCATACACAATTTTTTCTGCATCATTACTATTGTCTCCTTATGACTCACTGAGCCATATATAGTAGCTTTTCTTTTGAGGAGAAATTTTATTCAGAGCAAGGAGATGTGAAAGCAAATATTAAATGTCAGGCTGTTATGTCAGGTTTGTATTCAACTTTAGTGGTGGATAAAAAAGTTACATGGCTTGAACATCAGAAAAATACAGTAATTGCTATCTCTATTAAAAGGCTAATGTCAGGTTAAAATCTTTAGTTGCCTTTCCCCACCTATTATGTATAATAACATTAGATATTAATTTTAAATAAAAACCTTTGTTTTGCTTTCTTTTTAGCTTAACTTTTACCACTTTTTTCAGATTGAGTGAGAAATGTATTCTCATTATACTTGGAATCCTATGTACTGCTGCAGTATCTGGATTGCAAGTACTACAGTGATGTAGTGATGTGTGTGGCTTTCTTTTGCCGTTTCCACTGGATTAACCTCTTGTCTCCAACACACAATCTCAGTGTTTGCTATTGCCCTGAGTTTCTTGGCTTATGAAATCTAAATTTGGGAGCCACATTGGGTTTCCTTTTAAGATTCTCCACCCTTCTCTAAGAAAAGTTGGGTTTGTTAAAGCACTGAGAGAGCTTTCTCTCTCCATTTGTCTGACTACCCATCTCTGGACCTTGATTTGGGGCTTTGAGCTGTTGTCTGTTTCTGGCCAGGCTGTGTGATGGTTTGTCTACCAGCCTGTCATGGACCATTGTGGTAATTCATATCTTACTGTTTTATGATATTGATGATCTGCAGAAAAATGTTGATGTTCTAAAATTGGTATTTGTTTCATATTTATAGGTGTTGGGATTGGAAGTTGACACTGTGAACTCTGTCCAGTTTTCAAACCACACAGGTAAAAAAAAAAAAAAAAAGTTATCTTAATATATTATTCTGCATGCCTGTGCACGCAGTCTGGTATGGCTGACAAGCACTCAGTCCCTCTCGCTGTGTAGTGTTTTGTTCTTATTTTCTGTTGCCTTTTCCTAACTCGCTTTGAAATGCAGGGGCCATGGGTGTAATGTTCAGAGTTTTGATCCAAAGCATATTGATGTTTGTGAGCTTTGGAAAAGTGCCTAAATCTAAATTGTAATGCATTCCAGTCTGTTGCTTAATCTTGTGTGGGTATTTTGTTAAACAGCTTAGAAGAAATAAAACTGAGCAAGGAGATATCTTGTCAGTAAAAACATTAGACCGTTAAATAGAATAAATATTGCATCATCCCATAACTGGCAATCTGAGTAAGTCTCCAGCATTTGGGCTTTTACAGGAAACCACATGACTTTTCGCTGTACTGCCACCAGAAGTACTGATTATTTTAGAGTGAGGCTCCTCCTTGGGGGTTGACTTAAAAATCCTGACTAATTTTTTTACAGGAGTATATTTGGGGTTCTTTTTATATGCATGCTGGTTTTTGAGCCTGTCGGTTGTGGTGTGCCCATGTCACATTTTAAACTTTTCTCTGCCAGTTTGAGGGAGGCATCAAATTGAAAGCTGACATTCTCATGTATTCCAGTGATTATCCCCACTGGGGCTTTGAAGAAAAACAGTGGGTATCACAAGTAGTCAGTGTGGTAGATGTGATATCTTTTATTAGACCAACTAGATAGTTACAAAACAGATTCTTTATTTTTGGGTATCACAAGACTTGCAATTGGTGGCAACGCTGAAATTACCTTAAGGCAGCTCTTTAGTAAGTCCTGGCACAATATACCAGTTTCATAGTAGGTAGGGTCGGAAGGGACCTGAGCAGATCATCTAGTCCGACCCCCTGCCAGGGCAGGAAAGACTACTGGGGTCAAACGACCCTGGCAAGGTGTTCATCTAGCCTCCTCTTAAAGACCCCCAGGGTAGGAGCCAGCACAACTTCGCTTGGAAGTTGGTTCCAGATCCTAGCCGCCCTGACTGTGAAGTAGCGCCTCCTGAATCTAGCCTGAATCTATCCTCTGCCAGCTTGTGACTGTTATTTCTAGTCACTCCTGGTAGTGCTTGGGGGAACAGGGACTCCCCCAATGCCTGCTGGTCCCCTCTGACTAGTTTGTAACAGGTCACTAGATCCCCACTTAGCCTTCTCTTGTGGAGGCTGAACAGGTTCAGGTCCTGTAGCCTCTCTGCTTAGGGCCTGCCCTGCTGCCCCCTGATCATGTGGGCGGCCCTCCTCTGGACCCTCTCCATGCTGGCCACATCCCTCCTGAAGTGCGGCGCCCAGAACTGGACAGAGTACTCCAACTGCGGCCTGACCAGTGCAGCATAGAGGGAGCGAATCACCTCCTTGGACCTGCTTGAGATACATCTGTGGATGCATGACAAGGTGTGGTTGGCCTTCCTGACCGCATCCCCACACTGTCGGCCCATGTTCATTTTGGCATCAATAATGACTCCAAGATCCTTTTCTGCCTCTGCACTGA